GGTGGTGGTGGTGGTGGTGGTGGTGGTGGTGGTGGTGGTGGTGGTGGTGGTGGTGGTGGTGGTGGTGGTGGTTTATAGATTGTATTCTTTGCCATTTCTTTCCTATCGCAGTCTCTGCTCTGTAGGACCCTCCTGAACTCTGCGGCCTTTTCTTCTCTGCCTCCGTGCTCCCCGTCATAACCCTTAATACCACCCTGAGTGCTAACCTCATTTCTTTGCCCTTCTATACCAAATAGGACTTGAGATGGAGAGACGGAGGTGTCTATTGCTTGCTGTTGTATCCCCAGGATCTGGCACATAGTAGGTGCTCCAAGCATGTCTGATGACTGAATTAACGGAAAATAGTATGCATACGGGCTTTTAGAGCTGTCTTTTATTTTGGCAACATCTCTAGGGGGAGCAGGGAAATGTGGTCATTTGGGAGGGAGTGACTGAGCTAGTAAATGGGATTTGCTTACAACACTGGACACAGCAATGCCCTGTGCGGTATTAGAGTCCGTTTCTCATGTATGAAGAGCGTTGAAATTGGAGCTAAAGGTTACAAAATGAGTTATTTCAATGAACGTGCTGTACCTAGTGCTGTGCTTGGCAGCATGAATGAAACAGACTATGCCTCCATATTAAAATCCTAGCAGCCTGCTGGGCCCCGGCCTCCCGTGAAAAGGCACCCAAAATCACAGGGGAAGTGAAAGGCGCTCTATTCTACCCAGACTCCATTGCCAACCTCTGACATTTTGGACATGGGGGCGGGGGTAGCCACAGGACTATCACTGGCAAATTGACCTGAGCAAGGATGCTGCTCTTTGGTGGGGGTGTCCTTGGAAAACCCCTAAGCAGGTCCTTTTGACTGAGGGGTGGTTCCTGAGAAAGGGGGGGTGTGCTTTCTCTGACAAAGGACTGTGTGTGGGCTGCTCCTGGAGTTGGGTTGGGGAGGGCTAGAAAAAATGCTCTCTGAGATCCTGGTTCCTATGGCATGGACAGGCAGACCCAGACATACCAAGGAGAAGCTGCCTTGGTGGCTGATGAATGAATTCTGCCTGTGTCTGTGTCTTCCCATGGCCTTTTTTTTTTCTTTTTTAGTAAGGCACCAGTTGTTGAATTTAGGACCCATCCTAAACCAGTGTGGCCACATCTTAAATTGATTACATCTTCAAAGACCCTATATCCAATTCAGGTTACAATCATAGGTACCCATGGCTAGGACTGTGACTTTTTTCCAACTCAGTGAGGAAGGAACATTTGGATTGAGAACAGCAAGAGCGGGGAGGCCCTGAGGCCGCCCAGGGTAGATTCCCTTCCCAGCTGCCCACTGCTCTCTCAGGTTTACCTCCAGCTCATCTCAGATCCTGGCAACTAGAGTCAGGAGGGAGACAGCCTCTAGCTATCAGGGCTTCTCAGGCCTTCTCAGGCCTTGCAACCATTCTGCCCAGCATGATGCCTTGAGGAGGGCCTCGCCTTGTCTCCACCCACACCACATCCTGAACTGGACAAGGACAATAAAACAGATTTCACAAGCAGCTGGTGATTAATTGCAAATTAATTGAAGAGGCAGCAATTGTACTCCAATTTCAGAGGCAGGACCAATGTCTTGGGCAGTGCTGGGTGGGTCAGCTTAGGTCTCTCTTATAAGGTGGGGCCAGAAAAGCAGGATGAAAAAAAAATAAAAGTAGTGATTTTAAAAAGTGGGTGCTTCCATCATAGCTGAAATGCTTATTTGGCAGTCAGGTGGTAGGCCTAGATGTTTGAAGCCTGTCTTCAACTTTCCCTATCTTTGAAATATTTCATTAATAATAATGACAAAAAAATGACAGGGGATAGGGAGGTTAAGTATTTCTAAACTCTAGTTTGGGATTTATAAATGGTCTCAAATACCAGTAAGCCTCAATTTTCCCAATGGAGAGGGCCTTAAAATTATGTGCAAATCGAATCCTGCTCGCCCACCCAGTACATCTTAAGGCTGCTGATGCTCTATCTTCATTTCTGATTGATTTTTCCCTAGCACAGGCGCCAAATTCTTTGCTTTAAGTGTCAGGCTTTCTCTGTCAAGTAGTTAATGACCTACAAAGCACTTAAAACTGGAGGAGATGCTATTTGGAGGCCCCCTGCTGTGCTTCCTCTCCTATTGTCAGTAATCATCTCTCATTTATTTGCTCTTATTGGTTTGGAATTTGCTATCAGGTTTCCCTAAAGCTGAGCCCACCAGGAAAAGGAAAATCCCGTCCTATGGGAGGCAGGTGGATGCTGGATTTGGTATACAGTGGCAGCAACAGTAGCAGGTATGGCCTCTTTTTTTTTTTTGGTAGTACTGGAGTTTGCACTCAGGACCTTGCACTTGCTATGCTACCACTTGAGCCATGCTCTCAGCACTTTTTTCTTTCTTCTTCTTCTTCTTCTTTTTTTTTTTTTTTGGTGGTACTGGGTGCTCTACCACTTGAGCCACTCCATCAGCCCAGCCCTTTTTGGCTTATGTCTTCCACATAGCTAAGATTACAAGCACACACCATTACGCTCAGCTTGTGCGTTGAAATGGAGGGAGGGTCTCACTAACTTTTTACCTGGGCTGGCATCGAACCTTGATCCTCCTGATCAACAGTCTCAGCCCCCAGCCATCACCTTACCACAGCTCTTTGGCTTTGCTTCAGGCCAATGACCTTCATACTGCCCCGCACCAAGCCTCAGTTTTCCTTCTTCACAATGTCTTCAGAACAAGCACCTGCCTTTGGACAACTGTAGGATGACAACAGCCTGGCGAGGACAGTACTAAGAGTAAGAGAAGAGGCCCAAGGTCAGGGTGAGCTCAGAGGCCAAGGCAGATACAAACTCCAAGGTCAGAGCTCAGAGGAAGCATCTCTAAGTTGCAGAGCAGGCAAGCCATTCACAGAGGGGAAGGAAAGCTTTCCAAAGAGAGCTAACCAGACTCCCCTAGAGGGGAAGTATGCCAGTGGTCTGCAACTGCTGCAACCAATTCCACAAGCACGGTGACTAAAAACAACTCACATTTATTTTCTTACAATTCTGAAGACTGAAAATCCAAAATAGTCACCATAGGCAGAAACCAAGGTGTCCTCAGGACCATGCTCCTCCTGAGTATTTGAGAAGACCCCATTTCACCCCCTTTCCTGCTCCTAGAGCTACATTCCCTGGCTACAGCCCTTCCCTCGTCGTACTACCTCCCATCTGTAATCGTCCTGGGCATCCCTCTTCTAAGAACATTTGTGAGTCTAGTAATCCAGCATCATCTCCTTATCTTGACAGACTTAACCACATCTGCAGTCTTTGTCATGTGAAGTAACGTTCACAGGTTCCAGGGATGAGGATGTAGACATCTTGGGGTCCACAGAAGGCCACTGAGCAGAGTGGCTCAGGCTCCGAAGCTGCTGCTGGGGCTTGAATCTCAGCTGAACCATCCATCAGCTAGGTCACCTGGGCAAGTTGCTACATCTCTCTAAACCTCAGTTTCCTCATCTGTAAAATGGGATCAGTGCTTGTCTCCAGATAAAAATTCTGTAGACATTTAACTATCAGAGTCTACAGGTTGAAAAAGACCTCAAAAGGGCCCTTCTGTAGGAGGGAGGAAGGGCAGGGGAGGGGATGGAGTAGGGCAGGCTGGAGTGGAGAGAAGAACTGCACCAAGTCCAAGAGGAGTGTCTGCGTGCAGGAGCGTGCATGTGTACACACTGTCCTGGGGGTAATGGGCAGGGAAGAACACAGAAGGTTCTTAAGCTAGGTGCCGTTTTGTTTGTTTTTGAGTTACTTTATTGAAATGTAGTAGCATTCATCCTTTAAAGTGTACAATTAGTGGTTTTTGGCATATTCACAAAGCTGTGCAACCATCCTCACTATCTAATTTGGAATCTTTTCCTTATCCTATAAAGAAGCCCCATACCCATCAGGAGTCCCGGGAAGCAGAGGATGAAACATCTTAAGGGGCTCCATGGCCTGAAACCCAGGAAGAAGACAGGGCGCCCAGACTCCTGCAGATTAGGGGCCAGACAGCCTGGGGACAATTCCGTCCCTTACTGTTCCCGGCTTCTTCACTCTTTCCTCCTGTGAAGCAGGATGATCCACCACACAGGGCCAAGGGGAGGCTAGTCTGGGGGCTCACTGTGTACACCACAGTTACTGTTTCTATTTCTGGATGTGGCCACATGGCTCCAGAGTGTACCCTCCTCCCTGGACTCAGCTCTGCACACTTGTCCTGATGGCTAGGGAGGTCAGCAGTTCTCCTGGTCTCCCCCTGCCCCCACCCCCACCCCTCCTGCAGTGCATGCCAGTCAGGGTTCCACCCATAGGGGGCAGTAGGTTGTAGGGCTGCTGCAGAAAGGTAGGGGCATTCCAGACTTGGTCCTGATGGAGCAGCCTGAGCCCGCCCAACAGATCCAGACACTCTGGGGGTAGCTGTGACCTGTCTGGAACAAGACAAACCTCAGACAGGCTTCTCCAGTGCTCCCACCCCACTTTGGCTCCTGCTGGTTACTTGGAGGCTCCAGGCCCTGCATGTCAGGGGTGTCTGGCTTCACCTACAGGCAGCTGAGACAGGAGGAGAGGCCATCTGGTGAGGCGAGAGTGTGGTCAGGACATTGCTGAGCCGGCTGAGGCATCCCTTGGCAGTGACAGGGGCTTCTGGGATCAATTAACAGAACCACCCTAACAGGGCCCATGGCCCCTGATGCACAGTCTGCAGGCACGTGTCACCAGAGCCTCTTGTCAGTCTTGGCAGCCAGGAGTGGGGAGGAGGCTGCTGGCCTTCCCACCCCCACCACTTCGCCCCGTCGCCCCCGCCCCGTGCCTGGGCCCAGCGCCTCCCCTCCCTGCCAAATGGGTGGTGCTGGCTTCCAGAATCTGTGCTTTTATTGCCTCGCCTCTCCTGGTGTTGTGGATGTAGCAGTATGACTGTCTCAATTTTCACATATGTAAAATGGGTCATGCACTAATTAGAGATCACTTTCTGGAAAGTGGAAAAAAAAAAAATCCTCCCTCTTCAGCAAAAACAGGCACTGAATGGCCAGCAAAGGAAAGAACTCATTTATTCTTAAAACAAATGGCTCTTGAGCCCCGTCTACGGCTCAGACACAGACAAAGAGAGACAAATTAGGTGTTTTCCATGCTGGAGAAGCTTGGGGCCTCCTGGGGGAGATGGATGTGTGTGAATTGACTCAACTCGAGGTGATAAGAAGATAGGGCGGGGGGACAGGGACTTAGGGAGGCTTCATGGAAGAGGTGGCAGTTAAGCAGGAATTTCTCAAGCAAACAATGGGGTAAGGGCCTTGGAGCAGAGGGAACAGAAGGTGCACAGGTTCACAGGTGGGGAGTGAGCATCTTGAGGAACAGCAGGCATGGATGGGGGCTTGGAGTGTGACTTTGGGACAGCAGGAGCTGATCAGATGTGAGGTGGTAAAATCTGTCTTTCATTCCAGCCCCAGCACAGGGCCAAACAGGTAGTTGGAGCTGGATCAATGTTGTTGAAAGAATGAAGCGGTTGTGGGAGACCTGAGGGCCTGGCTAAGGGATCAAACCTTGATTCTTTGGACAGTTGAAACCACAGTGAGGTTGGGTATGGGGCATGAGGTAGGAGTCCAAAGTCATCCTTGAGCACATGAAGGTCTAGTTCTCCCAGCACTATTTGTTGAAAAGATTGTTTTTACCCATTGAAGGAGTTTGACTCCCTTGTTGCAATGAATTTGACCATAACCCTTTGAGAGGAGAGTGACCTGGTGAGATCTGTGCTATAGAAAGATCAATTAACTTGGCAGAGAGACCAGGAAGGGCTGAAAGAAGGAGGGGGTTGGAAGGAGGCTCTAATAGGTGGGTTTGATACAGAAAAGAGGGGGAATGTGGGGAAAAAAGCAGCTCCCAGATGGGCTCAGACCTGTGGTGGGGAACCAGGGGTGGGGCATCTCCTGAACCAAGGCCAGGATGTCAGCCAGAATCTGGCCCTCAGGGCATCAGGGCAGGCATGGGGGAGACAGAGAAAAGGCCAGGACTCCTCAATCCCCCACAGTCCACAAAGTGGTAAAATAAGACCCACACCAGTCATAACCACTTCCAAGGTAAGTTTTTAGGCAATAAGAGGGTTGTAAGGGCAGAACAGTGCCAATTACAGCAGCATTATCCCAGATGAGGAAGCTTCTAAGAGGCAGCTCACACCTCCAGGCTTGCTGTGTCTGGGAATTCCCAGGGAACACCTGAGATCCAAATATCCAGGCTGCTAGGACCAGGCCTCATGTTGGAAACTGAGCATGTGCAACACCATGACCTCTACTGACCTTTCCCCAAAGACACAGAACACACACACACAATTTTGAGAAGGTGGATGTGAGCAGTGAGGTGATGGGCCATCTCTGAAGGAAATTGTCTTTCCATGGTGTCCCCCAGCCCTGGAAGCACAAGTCTCTCAATGGCTCTCTCTGTTTAGCCCGTATGGGTCACATCACCCCTTCAGCTGGCCCGTGGCCACAGGAGAACCAAGCACATTTGGAGGCTGCCCCCTTTGGATTGTGTGACCTTCAGCCAATCAGCCTCTCTGAACTGCAGATTCTGCTTCTTTAAATTGGTGGCCATTCAGCTCCCACCTTGCAGGAGTGTATTTAGGATTAAATGAGGAGTGTATTTAGGACTCTTTCTGTAGCGAAAGAGTCCAAGTAACCACATCCATGCCTGACACATGGCAGTGTCTGTTGAAACACTAAAACGTCCACACTCAGGACTCCCAGAAACCTCTTCTTATCATTTCTCTGTGGAGAAAGCTTGGAAGATACATTCAAGGAGGGGCGTGCAAGCATGTTCCCTGCATTATCTTAGGCGAGGTTGAAAAATTGTAAACAACTGAGGAGGCCATTGATAGGGGCCCGATTGATTAAATTAGGATCCATCCTTCCTGTGAGTCCTCTGCTATAATTAGAGTCTGGCAGCTCCGATATGCTAGCTTGGGCAGATCCCCAGTGCAAACAACACCTACAGAATGACACCAAGCAAGCTCTTCAGGACCCCCCACAAACATTCTGTGTTTTATCTGTTCCCATATATGTACACAGATGCAATAAAAGCAGCAGGAAGGACTCTCTCCCAAATAAACCAAGTAAGTGACCTGTGGGGAGGGCATTCAAAGGAGACCGGGATATGGCAGGTGCATCAGAGTCAATTTGTACCACTTGCTTGCTTAGATACACACAGTGAGCACATACCAACGCCAAGTACACACAGGGTGCAGGCCTGAGCTGGGTCAAGTCTCAGGCCAAGATTCTGACCATAGCTCAAAGGAGAAGCATAGAAAGCAGTTATCCCAGAGTCCTGTGTTCATGTCCTCAATGCCCGAGTCTGGATTCAGAGACTCCAAATGCCATCCCCTGGCATTCAAGAGGAACAGAGAGACACCACTCAGTCTGGCTGGGCTCAGGTAAGGGGCCACCTCTCCTGGAGGAGCTGTCTGCCAAGAAAACTGTTGAACAACATAAAAATCCATCCCTGAAATCCCAGCGGCGTCCTTAGCCTGGAGCACAGCCTTTAAATTAGATGGGAAAAAAGAAGCAGGTTTTGCCTGTAACTTGATTTCAGGTTAGTGAGAGCTGGTGGCCAGAGTGGTGGCTGTCCCCAGTCGAGGCCACCTGCTAAAGTCTTGTGATATTGGTTGTGAAGGGAACCCCAGCTCCACAGAGGATCGGTAGTAAGAGGCACATGTTCCCATGGAAACTGCTGCACAGAATTCTCTGGAAATTTCTGTCTGGGTGGGGGGGCCACGGCTGCTGCACCCACATTAAGTTCCTAGGCTTGGTTTCCAGTGGTGATTTTCTCACACAAGTGCTGGGAGGAGCAGGAGCCAAGCGGGGAGGAGGTTGAAACCTGTTAGAGGGGGCAGGCATCAATTTCTAGTCATTTACCACCCCTGGGAGAGGCAGAGGGTAGGGAGCCTGAGGGTGGCAGGGGTGTTGAAACATTTCAAATGTGCTGAGGCTCTGAAGGCTGGCAGCTGGCAGGACCTCGGCAATAAGGCAGGCTATGCCGAGAGAGCTGGTGGGAATCCCAACCGGGCAGGAACAGGCCAGGCAGACGGAGGGTTCACCAAGAAGCTGAGCTACTGACTGCCTTTCTGCTCGAGGTCCTGGGGCAGAGCCCTGACTGAGGCTTCTCCTACCACTCAGGGTCCAGGTCTGTCCTTGGGGTGGTCCCATGGGCCTTCCTCAAATCCCTTCTCTGAGCCTTACATGTTCTACTCAGTTGCTCCCTTGGCGCCTCCTCTCAACTCTTAGATGCTCCTCTTATGGGGCTCCCCTTCCCACTTTGCTTCCCTGTGTCCTTAGCTCTGGGCTGCTGGAACCTGTCATGAGGAGGCTCCCTTCCCAGGAGGCCTGCCCCTTACTTAGCAGTCCCTTCACACTGGCCGCACTTCCTGCTTCCCTGACGGATGAGTGTCCAGGAAGTGCGCACCTGCCAGGCTCTGCATGAGCCAGGGACTTCCTCACCTGTCTTCCCAGAGGCACACTGAGGTCTGGATTGTCACTGGAAAGCCAGGCTTCCATGGGCAGTTCTCCTTCTCCCTTTCCTTACCCCTCTCCTAACTCTCTGGAGACCTTGGCACCCACTGGTCTCCCAACGTCACCCTGAGCCAGACTCAGACACCTCTCAAGCAGCATCTGTGTCACCCAAGAGGTGATAGATCAGTCTCTGAGGGGCTCATAGACCACAGGGAGGAGCTGGGATTTTATTCCAAGTGAAGCAGGAGCCCTGGAAAGTTTTGTCTGGAGCTGGAACAAGACTTCAAGCAGGTTTTGTCAGTTCTCTTGGCTGCTTTGGGAGAGACTGTGGGGGCAGGGCAGCTGCAGGGAGCTGTTGTGGTGAGGCCTGGGTCACAGCATGAGGTCAAGTCCCCACCAAGCTCCCTCACTCCCCTGGAAAAGGCTGGAAAAACCTAAGTACTGGCTAGACTCCAGGGGCCTAGAACAGAGAGGCCCAGGAGGTGGGGGAAGCAGCCAGTGAGTAGGCCTCCTCTTGGTCTTGCTGGCTTCCAGTTGAGTTTTCACCTTTGTCCTGGCCCCCACCTCAGGCTGCTGGAGTCAGGAGCCTGGAAAGCAGCTCTGCACAAGGCAGCTTTCCTCCCTCAGCAGGCCTGGAGTTCATTAAACCCAGCCTCCAGGAGCATGGGGCCTCTCTGCTCAGCTCTGTGAGCCCCTAGGAGCCCTCCTTGCCATTGGTTCACACGCTGAGGCCAAGAAGCAAGCTGGGAGGCTGCTGGTTGTCATGTGGGCCCAGGGAGGCCTGTGCCATAGGGACTTGCAGAAGTCAATCTGTACCCACTCCCACTCCCAGCCTTTCTGTCTCTGAAGAGGGAGACTGACCTGTAGAATGGATATGTGCTGCCTAAAAGGTTGATGGCCCAGTGCTGCTGGGGCCAGGGTCAGGCCTACATATTGGGGCCCTTCCCTCACTGACTGCATTTGAGGTCTGATATGAGGACACCCCCAGGAACCTCTGGAGCAGCCTGAGTGGTGGGGAGAGAAGTCTGACCTGTCCATTCACAGATGAAAAAACAGTTGGCAAGCCAAGGCAGAGGAGGTGAGGGAGGGGACAGAGCGTGATAGTCTGGGTGAGAGACACCTGAGCCCATATCTACCTGGGAAATGGTTTCTGTTACATAGCAGGACCACATGGACTATGAAACAAGGGGTCCTGTGGGCACTTGGAGGAGCAAAAAGGCTAAAGACCAGACACTGAGGAGTTACCATCTACCACTTGAACTGCACACAGAGACTCCTCCACCCATTCAGGGGAGGCTGGCCACCAAACAGGGCTACAATGGGAAAGAGGTGGCCTACAGACAGCTAGGATGGGTGCTGGGTCCATCTGGCCTCTACCCACATGGGCCAGGGGTGGGTCCGGAGATAAATAAAGACAGAGAAGGATTGAATGAAGTCAACGATTGCGGGCCAGGACAGGCCAGTTAGAGGGGACTTTGGGGCACTGGGCCTTAGGGTGGAAGGAGGAGCAGCTGAGGCCTCAGGTGGAGGAGAGGCCTGAGGAGCAGAGGTAACAGGCAGAGAGCATAGTAGCACAGACATCACAGGGACTGGGATGATGGGACACAGAACTTTAGGCCATGTTTACCAGCCCTCCACCCCCCATTCCCCACGTCAGAATGTCCTTCCTTACCTGCATGTATGGAACCCTCCCTGCTCCAGGGCCCCAGTTTGACAGTCACCACTTGCTCCATCCTTGGCCTTGATATCTGGCCCTGGGCCCAGTCCAGCATCTGTGTGGCTCAACATCCTTGCCCATCCCCCACCCCTGCCACACCAGCAAGGCCACCTTGTGCTTTTGGACTAGCTGGGCAGGTAGGAGCATCTGCAGTCCCCTGCTAGTCCATCCTCAGTGCCCATGCACGGCATTGGCAGGGTCCCTGCTGTGTCTTCCTTGCAGATCATTGTCTGCCCCTAGACCAAGACAGCCATGTAAACTCTGTGGGGTGGGCATAAGATGGTGAGGAGGGCTTCAGGAAAAAGGCCACTTCCTTTCTGAGTGAGAAGCACTTTGTTGACTGGGCCATGGGAGGAAGAGCCCAGTTGGCACGAGGAACAGCCTGGGCAAAGGCTCAGGCTGGGGTGCAGGATGGGGGAGGGAGAGGGGCAGGCGGAGGAAAGGAGGGCCTTGAGTGTAAGGATGAGGGTGATAGTATGTCCCTGGAGGCCATACTCCTGGTTCAGATTAAGTCCTTTGGCATGAGGGGCTGCGCCAGGGCCTCTGGTCCAGGACAAGACCCGTGGTTGGCAGAACTTCTCCTAGAGATTTTCATAGACCAAGTTAAATTCGTTGTCATCCTCAAATTTATGCAGTTTCTCCTGGGAAAGAAAGAGGGAGAGAGAGAGAGAGGGAGAGAGAAAGGGAGAGAGTGAGAAGGAGAGGGAGAGAGAGAGAGGGAGAGGGAAAGGCAGAGGGAGAGGGAGAGAGAGAGAGATGGAGAAGGAAAACATATTAGGTAGTAAAAGAATGAATTTGCACTGGTTTAATTTTAATTTTAGTCAGAGGCAGACAGATTGCTTCCTGCGTGGCTTTGGCAGGAGGACTACCCTCTGATCCCAAGCCTACCTGGCTAGCTTCTCCTACCGCCATACCCGCCCCTCTCTCCATTCCACACTCTGGCTACACCAGCTTCCCCTCACTTACCTCAGACTCCTCCACATGTTCTTCCCTCACTCTGAAATGCTCCCCAGCACACTCCTGTTCCCTGACTACCCCCTACTCACCCTGCGGATCCAACTTAGTGTCCCAGGAAACCCTTCTTGCTCCAGCCCCATCAGGCCCCTCCAGGGAGCCCACTTCTCACATTAGGGCTACAAATGTCTCTTTCCTTGGAGTCAGTAACCTTGTTTCTGCAGACCAAGTCTCTCAGAAGAAAGGAAGAGCCATGCCTCACTCTCCTGTCCAGTACCCCAGGGCCTGGCATGAGGTGGGAACGGCCTGAGATGGCCCAGACATCCTTGGAGGTTCAGGGAGGGAGGCCCTACTTCCAGTCAGGGCTTTGAGAATAGATGGTTCTGTAAACAGCCCCAGCCTGGGCTGTGGGAGTCTGAGCACCAGCCCCAGCACTTCTGAGGCTCTTCCCAGGTGCCCCTGGGCCACCCATACTGTGGGGTTCCTTCACCAGCTTAGCAACGTTGTGTTCCAAGCTCCTGTCAGATGGGGCAGATGGTATGGTAGGAAAACATTGCTTGTTCACCTTACAGATGAACAAACTGAGGTCAAAGAGAGAAAGGGTGATGAACTTATAGGCCTGAGGCCCTGCCATGATAATACTGGAGCCCTGAGCCATCCAGCCCCCCACCAGTTCCCTCTCCAGCTCTAACCTTAGCCATCACCAGCCTGGGGGCACCTCGAACCCTCCCACCTCCACTTGATTGGGAGTGTGTCTCCAGTGGCAGTTATAATGGCCATGCTGCATGGACACCCACTGGGTCCTGGGCTGCCTGCTCAACACAGTAGTCTGTCTGTGAGGTCACTACTTTGGCTCCTCAGCTTCCATCACAAGAGACTTAGGAACAGAGAAGTACCTTGGTCAGGACTGCCCAACTGCTAAGGATGGAGCAGGAGTTTGAAGCCCCCAGTCCTCCTAACCACTAGGCTAGCTGCCTCTGAAAAGGACTGGATTCAGCAGCAGGTGACTCATGCCTATGGTCTAGTTAACTCCCATTGCATAGATGATGAGAGGGGGAAGGGGAAGGAAAGGGAGGGCCAGGCTTGGTGTCCCAGGCCACAGGATTGTTGCGCCAGCCCGCATACCTGGGAGGGCTGGCTTTGGGCAGAGGCTGGACTGCCAGCCTCGTTCTCAATACAGGCGTAGACCTCGGTCTCTCGGCGCTGCAGGGCCTGCAGGAGACAGGGAACCAGGGTGAGGATATACACGCTAAGGGGCAGTCACTGGGCCGCCCGCGCCAGCCTCCCTACCTGTTACTAATCCTGCTGAGCTATGGGCGCCCAGGGGAGGTCGGAGCCCATTGCCATGCCATGCATGGTCGTCCTGCCACATCTTTCACCTGCCAGTCTCTCTCTGAGTCACCTTTTCCCCTCCCTTGCTTGTACAGACTGACCTGACTCTTCTCTGGTGCCCACCATCTCCCTCAAGGACTTCAAACAGCCACTTGCTCAGTACGGTGGGCTCTGTCCACACTTCTACCTAGCTGGCAAGAGGAAGGGACCAGGTCTATTCCTACCATTCTGGCCTACCCTTAGGCCCCAAGGGCCTGGTAGCCAACAGCCCCTGCACCATGGCCACTGCTCAATAGGGCACAATCCTGGAATCTGCCCCCACTCCCTGGTTCAAAGCCACTGGCCCAGTGGGGGTCCCGCTCACCTACTCACACCCTCTACATCTCCCTGACCCACTACCAAGCCTGGGCTCAAAGACGACCTAGAGGCCCATTGAGATCTCACTGTTTGCTTATCAGGCTTGTGCCCTGCTGGGAGATTCCAGAGTCTAGCCCAGCTCTCAGTGTCCCTTTGCTTATCACTTCCTTTTCATCCCCAGAGCCATCCCTTCCTGGCCATCTGGGCCCCAGTCATTCCCCAATGCTCCCCCTTGGAAATTCCAGCTCCCACTGCCCACCCTGACCACAGTCCCACCCAGTCCAGGCCTCCTCCCACAGAAGCCTGAGTGACAGGAGCTGGGAGGCCAGGGACCCAGTCTCCACAGCCCCCAGTGGATTGAGAGCTCTTTGAGGGTAGGAACTGGACCTGGCTCATCTCGTGATTCCTGAACCTACAGCTGTGCATGGCACAATGAGAGTCACAGAAAATGACCAATAATGAGGGGTCATTTGGGGGTGTCCTAGGGCCATACTCACTCTTCACTCAGCCTCTAGAAGCCTGACCAGAGATGTCAAGATGGTAGGAAGAACCAGAGCTTTGAAGTCAGACAGAACTGGGTTCAACTCTTGGTTCTGACATCTGCCACCAAAAGCAACCCTTTAAGCTCTCTGTGCCTCTATTTCCCCATCTATAAAATGGGAACAATCACGTCTGTCTTGCAGGTCCAGTACAAGATTAAATAGGATATTGTATATAAAGGGCCTTGCATGGAGCAGGCAAACAGTAGGTGCTTAATAAGGAGCTGTTGGATGATAATCAAAGAAGACAGTACTCCTGTTCCCTCTGCAACCCCAGCTGGGACCCACCCTCAGGCCCTGATGGGCTCTAGAGCAGAGCCTACAACAGCCTGAGTAAGAAGCAGAAGCCTTCCCTTCCCTAGTGAACGTGTCATATGGATGCCGGCTGGTTGCCAAGGAGGCGGTTTCCCTGGCAACAGTCAAGCAGGGGTTGCTGAGGCAGGCTGGAGAGACAGGTGGTGCTCAGAGGCAGGAGGAGGGCGGGGAGGGGAGGAAGAAGGGAGGTGCCTAGAAGCAGCCAGGCATGAAAACCTGTGTAATAAACCATTTGGCACTTGGGAGACCCTCACTTTCAAGGGCATCAGACACGGGGATAGTGGGGCTGCCTTGGGAAGCAGTCAAGGTGTCTCTGAGCCAGGAAGAGGGTGGGTCTTGGGAGAGGGGCTTCTAACCTGCCTTCTTCCCAAGGAGAAGCCCAGTTACCAGGGGAAGGAAACTTCTAAGGCCTGCTCTGATCTTCGTGGTTCTTTGTGCCTGCCCAGAGCCAGCACACAGGATGGGATATGCTCCTTAGCCTCCCTGTGCCCCCCCGCACCCTGTCCACCCACCCTCTGAGACCTGATAGCCCCTCCACACTGGATGGGTCTGATCACAGAGAAAATACCCTGCCTGGCCCCCTCAGGCCTCAGACCCGCACAGCACAGTGGCACTTGTGCTGCCAGCAGGGCAGGAGCAGCTGCAGGGCTGCGGGCAGACAAGGCTGCAGAGATGGCCACCACTTAGCAGCGGCAGAGTGAAGCCTTTGACAAGTCTTGACCTGCTGACTGCATTTGCATTCAGGGTGTGACCTGCAGTTCAGGCTGTGAAATGCAGGCCAGCCCTGCCTGGCCTTCCTTGATCATGATGGGATGCCTCCCACGGTGTGCCTGCTGGGAGAACGGTGATGGCCTCTTTCTTGGCGGGCAGCCTGTGGGATGACACAGGGCTAGGCTATGTTGTATCCAGACTAGGCTGTGCTGTGCTGGGCTGTGCTGGGCTTGGCAGTGGTTATCTGAGATGCAGTCCAATAAGCCCTTTTGCCTCCCACTGCCTGGTGGGCAATGGTGCTGGCATGATCGGTCATCAGCCTAGCAAAGGTGTAAAGTTAGTGCCAAGGTGGACTGAGTGGAAAGTCAGCTGCCCTAGGCCTGACCCTAATCTAAGGGTACTGGCCACTGGGGGCCATGGGTGGGATGTGGATGCTGTTTAGAAAGGAGCAATACTGGGTAGAGAAAGGATACCCCAGCTGTAGGTCTGAAGCCCTTAGGGAGGTGGGGCAGTATGGCAGTATTGTGTGTCACTCAGCGACAGCAAGCAGTGTGAGGGACTGCAGGCTTAGTGCAAGATTGGGGACACTGGGCCAGGTAGAGGCAGGGAGCAGAACTGAGCACTGCTGAGAGAGAATGCAAACCCCAGGGCTGACGCCTCACACTTGCCAATGGACGCCCTGGAAGGGTGAGAGCACTCTTGTGAGCATCTACTGTGTGCAGGCACTGGGCTGGTGTGGGGTGGGGAGGAGGCTTGAGACAGACAATAATTACCTAAGCAAAAGGAGGCCACAAAGGCTATGGAAAGACACAGAGGACAACAGAGACATTGCAATGGATAGGGGCATGGGAAGAGGTGGGAGGAGAGCCACACTGAGGTCTGGCTGAGCAGAAAGCTAACAGGAGCGGGGGTGGGCAGTGGGAAGGGGCAGCTATAGGAAGCAGCCTCTCAGGCAGGCGATCACTAGCACAGGGGCCCTGTGGTAAGGTGCACCTGGCCTGGTGTGTTCGGGACAGCATGTGTGGTTAGCGACAGCATGGAGGCCAAGAACAGGGCTCTGACTTTGACTCTGGGTATGATGGGAACCTATGAAGGACTGTGATGGCCAGAATGGATCAAGCGCCCCCCCATCTGCTTGGAGACCCCATAGGTCTCTGACTTGGGCACTCCCAACAGCAGCCTTGCCATGTGGCAGGCTAGGGTGCTTCCATGTGACTCTGCTTCCCTCTTCCTTCACTGTGCCTCATCTGATGGCTTTCCTGTGTCCTCAGCTCCCTCCCCGTCTTCTCTCATAGGGACTTCTGAAAAAATAGCCCTGTGCATATCTCCTTCTTGGTGCCTGCTTCTTTGGGGACGTCATAACACCAACATCTCTGAGCAGAAAGACATGATGGTTTAACAGGATTGCTCTGGCTGGTGCCAGGTGGAAGAAAGACCGGGGCAAAGATAAAAAAAAAAAAGGCCAATTGCCAGCCACACATGGTGGCATATACCTATAATCCCAGCAACTAAAGCAAATTAAAAAACAAAAGAAAGAAAAAGAAAAAAGGTCTACTGAAGACTGACTGAGTAATGGCAGTATATGGCAGCAAGAGGCAGGAGAGGCTGGGGGAGGAGAGCAGATAGATGCTGGATACATTTGAAGCCAGGGCTACTGATAGATCAGATCTGGGGGGTGATGGAAAGAGAGAAGGAAAGGACAGCTTCGAAGTACTTAGCCTGAGCAACTGGGAGGACAGTCATCACTTGTTAGGATGAGGATGGTGTGGGAAGAGGAACTTAGTGGGGAAAGAGCTGGAGTTTGGGTAAAGGAAGCGCCCATTAGTCATTCTATGGCAGCTGGGCCTGGTGATCCGTGATTTCTGGGCTGGAGACACAACTTTGGGAGTGGTCAGGGTATTGATGGTGCTCAGAACCAATGCACTGAGGAAGGGGAGTGAAGATAAAAAAGAAGGGGTCCCCGGGGCTGAGCCCCAATGTTTACTCCAATGTTCAGAGGTACTGGAGAGAAACCTGCAGGAACCTCCTGGACTGAGGAGGTGACAGTGATTTGGGGAGGATTAGGAGACAGTGGAATGATCCAGAATCAAGTGAAGCATCTAGGAGGAAGGAGAGCTTGGTGGTGTCCCATGCCGCAGGGGCTGAGAACTGCCTGCTGGATTTAACAGTGCAGAGCCACAGGGACCCCAGGAGGAAAGGTCTGGTGAAGAGGTGAGTGGCAGGCCTGAGTGGATTGGAAAGGAGAGGGAGGGAGAAACCCAAGGTGCCTGTGGAGGAGTTCTGTTACCAGCAGTGTTGGAGAGAGGGAGGTGGCTCAAAATAAGGAACTTAAGGTGGAAGAAATCATATCATCTACCAAACTGCAATGCAAATTATAGGACTGACCCTATTTCACACATGATGGAACCAGGACTCAAAGTTTAAGTAGCAGAACCAGCAGGTGAAGGATGAGGCTTTGCCTGGTGCAGTGATACACGGCTGTAACACACTTGTACACTTGGGAAGCTGAGGCAAGGAATTGAGAGTTTGAGGCCAGGTCTGGGCTACATAGGGAGACCCTGTCTCAAAGGAAAAAAAAAAAAAAGAACAAGGTTTTGCTCCCCAGTCTGTCCAACTCACGCCAAATCTATCCTCTTAATAGATTGAGTTTTAAAAGCAAATTGGAGGGGGGGGCAGGGTGGAGAAATGACCCAAACCATGTATGCACATGTGAACAAATAAACAAACAAAAAAAGAAGCAAGTTGGAGTAGTAAGGCTTGTTTTGTACTCACTTTCCACGTGAAAGAAAGCAAAACTTGACATAATTAAAAAAAAAGAAATATACAAATGCACAATCCTACTGGTAGATAACTCATCTCTCTCTCTCTCTTCTCTCTCTCTCTCTCTCCAGTACCAGGGATTGAACTTAGGGCCTCACACATGCTAGGTAAGTGCTGTACCACTTGAGCCACACTTCCAGTCCACTCACTTCTCTTAACAACTGGTAGGACAGACAAAAAAGTCAGTAAGTATCAATGGGAATATGGAATATTTTAACACCTTAGTCCTCATACTTGGTATAACTGACGTATATGGAGCACACACCCAACTGTGCATGGTACTCGTTCTTTTCAGTGCACACAGAGTATAAGCTGAGCCATAAAGTAAGTCTCAAAAGATTTCAAAGGATTAAAATCAGAATATACATATATACATACATATATATGTTAGCTAGAAATAAAAAGGAGAATAATTAGAAAACATTTAAAAATTAAGCAAGACTCTTTTGAATAATCAGTGGGGCAAGGAAGAATTTTCTGTGAAAAATTTAGAATGAAAGATAATGAAAACACAACATATCAATATCTTAAGGGGAAGCTGGGCATGGTGGTACATTCTGCAATCCCAGCATTTGGGAGGCAGAGGCAGAAGGATCATGAGTTCAAGGCCAGCCTGGGCAGCAGGCAAGACCCTGTGTTGAAAAATGAACAATCTTATGGGATGGAGATATAGCTCAGTGGTAGTGTTTACCGAGCAGGTGTGAAACCCTGGTTTGATCCCCAGCAACATACACACATACATATCACATGGGATGCAGCTAAAATCATACTTAAAGGGACGTTCATAGCCTTAAATGCATACATTAGAAGTAGAGAAAATTATCTAAGTTTCTATCCAAAGACAGTAGAAGGAAGAACATATTAAAAACAAACAAATGCCAGGTGCCGATGGCTCACGCCTGTAATCAGCTACTCAGGAGGCAGAGATCAGGAGGATCACGGATCGAAGCCAGCCAGGGCAAATAGTTCCTGAAACTCTATCTCAAAAAAAATCCAACACAAAAAAGGGCTGGTGGAGTGACTCAAGGTGTAGGCCCTGAGTTCAAGCCCTAGTACCACAAAACAAAAAACAAAAAACCTTCCCCGGAGGCTGAGAAGAAGACAAGCTGCCCCTACCACCACTCCTATCCATCGTCATACTGGAGGTCTTAGAGTGCAATAAAGTAGGAAAAAAAGTAATAAGAGGGTTGGAAAGAAACCAGTGAAACTTCCATGACTCAGGGATGACATGACCTGGCTCATGGAAAGTCTGAAGGAATTTACAGAGAAACTATCAGAATTGAAGAGTGAATTCAGCAAGATCACACTCCATAATGTTAACATAAAAAAATCCATCAAATTTCTACACACCAGAACTAGACAATTAAACACGGAGGACACCTGTACCTAAAACCTCTTCAACAGGACTGATGAGCTGATGGGGACAAAGTCCCCTCGAGTGCTGGGCACACAGAAGTACACAGCAAATGGCTCCTGACGCCATCCTCATTGTTAGTGTCACTCCTCTCTGCCCAGGAACAATTCCAGCTGGCAGAGTCCTGTCTCAAGGGCTTAGCAAAGCCCTGTGACCTCCCACATCCCCCAGTCATTATGGGATCCTGCAGGCAACACTCTGGAGAAGTCGGCCTGGGCTTCAGAGAATGCTACACCGAGGCGAGAAAGACAAGCTGGGCAAAAGTGAGTCTCTTTCATTAAAAATCATCTCATAGAAGGGTGATGTACTCATGTGGGAAAACGTTCATGAGCTATTGTAACAGGAGAAAGTCGTGGCTGGGGCTGTGGCTCAACTGGTAGAGCACCTGCCTAGCAAATTCGAGAACTTAAGTTCAAACCCCAGAACCACCAAAAAAATAGCTGTGCAGCTCCAAGTTTTAAAATAAAGTGTGGGGGCTGGGGTACAGCTGAGTGGTACAGCGCTTACCCAGCATGAGCAAGGCCCTGGGTTCAATCCTCAGCACCAAGAACAAAAAGTGGGAGCGTGTATGGGTCTCTTTCTAGATGTTGATAGGGACAAGGCTGGAAGGTATAGAAGTCAAGGTCACTAGTATTTATCCTGGAAGAAGGTAGGATAAAGATGCCGGTTATTTGATTCTTATATATTTTTTCCTACATATGTATATGCATGTATTTACGTGTTTGGAGAGAGGGAGAGAGAGAGAAAGAGAGAAAAAGAGGAAGAGAGAAAGAGAGAGAGAGAGAGGTTTTCATCTGTCATATGACACCAGAATCCCTCACAGGGAGGTGTGGGGAGAGAAGAGTGAATTTGGGGAAGTTGGGCTGGGTACACTGCAGCAGCTGGTAGGAAGTCCCTGGGGAAGAGAGGATGAAGGCCCTTTGAGAACTGTTGTGTTCTCCTCAGAGCTATCAACGCTACTCCCATGGGGACATTCTCTTGGGTTCACCACTACCCACCGCATCCTCTGAACGTGCTCTGTGAGGGGCTTTGTGGCATTGGAGGAAGTACCAGAATTTCACAGGTGGGGACAGGCACAGTGGCACCCAGGCCACTGAGATCCTGCACCTGGGGACCCCGCGGGAGCCCTGCAGAACCTTGCAGCTCCCAGGTGTGGACTAGGGAGCCCAGTCTGATGTCTCTGGATCTCACGGGACTGAGACTCTGGCTGGCCCTGACTGGATGGCATTGATCCTTCACTTTCTCTGCAGTGAACTTATGTCACTCGTGGAATGAAAGCAACACGACTGGAACGTTCCAGTTGCCTCCTCGGCTGCAACCACCAGCTAGAGGGGCCGAATGCTGCCCAGGTGGACAGTTACCCATGTCATTATGAAGACTGTGGCAGAAAATATTTGTGACACAACAGAATGTGGAACAAACAGTGTCTCTACTGTGATCGGAAGGATATAAAATCTGTGGAAGGGAAGGAAGAGAGTAAACTGAAAATCACTGGAGTGGGTGTGGCTCAAGAGGTAAAGCCAAGTGTGAGGCCCTGAGTTCAAGCCCCAGTACCGAAAAAAGAAAATCCATGTACCAAGGGTGTGGGATGGCGCTTGACCTTTCCCTCTTTTTGTGCTTTTTTATTGTTGTGGCTGTGATGCTGTTTGTGCAATAAAAACAGGAGGAAGCTGGTGAGCTGGTGGACGTCTTCTGGTCATTTGAAGGAAGTTTCGTCATTTCTCAGCCATTCTTGCCCTAGCTACCCCTTGTTAGAGAAGCAGAGGGGCATGGTGAAGTGAAGAGGACAGGACGGCCCCTCGTGCCTCGTGCATACCTACCAGGGGCTCACACATGGCCTCTCCCTTTACCTTTCTAGAAATTTCACAAGGTGGGACTTACTGTACCCTTGTTACAGATGAGGAAGTTGAGACTCAGAGAGGCCTCACAACTGGTACAGACTGAGCCAGGGGTCAGGCTCAGAGTTAGGCGTGAGAGAAGGGGAGGAGCCCAGGCCTTGGCACTCACCGTGTAGACAGATTCTGCGGGAGGCTGTGTGGTTTTGCTGGCAGATCTTGGGTCGGGGCATGTCTTGGTGGGGTGCTTTTCTGGAATCAGCTTCTGCTTCTATGGGGAGCAAGAGTCAGGGCTGTCAGGGCTGGGGACAAGTGGCTTGACTGTCCCTCTCCCCTCAAAAAACCCCGCTAGGGAAAAGGATGGAGGCTTGTCAAGAGGCCACACAAGTTAATCCCTCAACACCTTCCACCCACCCTCTCCAGGGAGATGCATCTGAGACCCACATCAAACCGCTCATGTGCCTGAAGCCAAAGGAAATGAAACGACCTACATGAGGCACTGTCACACCGAGCACCTGGTTCTGCAGTGGCAGGGCCCCCACCCTGGAGTTGAAGCTGCCAGTGGTCCCTGACTGGGTGCCAGCCACCCTGTTCCTACCTGGCTCTGGCCTACAGTAAACCATGTCCCTCTGGGGCATCAATGTCTTCAGCAATCATAACGCTTGTCTGAAAGACTGTTATAAGTATTCAAGGAGGGAGCAGGGGATACAGGTGTCTGGCACTTGGTGGCACATAAGAGGCCTCCGTCAGCCACCCCACACTTTTCAAGCACTTCTGTTAGTCAGGCTGTGTGAAGAGGGGACAGTGTGTCTGTCCTCCAGGACTTTATTTAGATCCAGCAGAAAGATGGAAGATGAACTAGGAGTTTTACCAAAACACAGTGTAGCACTGACCACAGATGCAGAGCTTCTGGCACAGGGGGAGGAAGCCAGTGCCTGGCCATTGGGAAAGACTGGTGATGGCAACTGGATGGTGGTGAGTTTGTGGTACTCGGGGTTGATTATGGTGGTGTGGTGACGGTGTTCTCGGCGAAGTGTTGCTTATTATTATTTGGTGTATGTTGGGTAGCTGTGTCGCGGTGTACGTGTTAGTGGGTGCACGGAGGTGTACCCGTTGCTTGTTAGTGGTTCGGCTCAGGGTGTGTAGGGGTAGGC